GAAGGCAATGACAAATCTGTGCTGAGCTGCATCAGCTGCAGGATGCACTTACCTTTCACTGTGCCTGCAAAAAAAGCCTCCTCACTCTGGATTTACAATTTCCACACTCTTGCAGATAGACCAAGCTGGCCTTTTGTTGCCTTACAACACTTCGTGGGTGGGATGAAGGCCTTGTCCTGGCTGGAGGAAGGCAGAGCAAGCCCAGCATCCAGAGCAGGCACTGCCAGTGCTCAGGAAGGGCTGCTGTCTTTGCCTCTTGGCTCCATCCACCTTGGCCTCCTGGGTCTGTCTGGTGCACAGGCCACTTGCATTGGGAACTGTCATCTGCTGCAGTGGGGACCTTGTCCTTAAACAGCTTCTCTGGCTCCTGAGACAGGGATGTCTCTGATCTCAGGCAGATGTGAAAGCAATTAATAGTATCTCTTAGATCAAAATCTTTTCATCCTTTGAGCGTGACTGATAGTTTCTGATCTCCCAGAGTGAAGTTTGGTGCAGCCCTCTCAGCCTATTACAGTTAAGGAATTGCAGGTGTGATGGTTGGGGCAGGTTACCCGAGCTCCAAGTCAGTTCTAAACCTTAAAACCATCCTTCAGTCCTTTTCCCTGCCCTTGGGAGAGCGTGTAGGATCCTGGGTGCTGCATTTTCACCACTGATCTGGTGGTCACAGCAGGGAATTATTAGAAGAGAAGGTGATGGATGAACCTTCATCAGTAGTTCTGGAATGAAGAGGTAAACACTGGATTTGAAAATAAAGGGAGGTGTGCAGGGATGAGGGATAACGTGCCACGGAAAAACAGAATTGTTTTAACTGATGATTAAAAAAAGAGAATATGATTAAAACAAGCTGATAAGATGAAACCAAAGTGACAAGATAAAGCAGCAGGGCATCCAAGAGGGGAAGGGGGAGACAGAACTGATGGCAGGAGGGCATGAATTATTGATTGAAATCTGTACCAGAAGTCTTTGCATTTTCTTATCTGGGAAAGGGAGAGAATGAATGAGAAGCGAACAGAATTATTAAGCAGCTTTATCATTGCATTGGAGTGGATAATTAGGCAATTAGGATTACTAAAAGTTGGCAAAGCAAGAGGCCTGGGAGTCTTATGCTCCTGATTCTGGGGGGGTGATGGTGAGGGAAGCAGGGAAAAGCCTTTGGCAAGAGATGTGATGGTGTATTATAGTCAGATGGAAAGGCAGAGCCAGGCTCTGGCACCCAGTGCCCTGCAGCTTCCAGAGCAAAGGGGGACACAGGAGACCTGACTAATGAAAAAGAACTGATTTGAAGATGGGCAGTCCATGGAACAGCAACAAGAAATGAGATCAGGAGTGATGGCCTAACTTATGAAGGATATGGACCTGCTGGAGTGAGTCCAGAGGAGGCCACGAAGATGCTTGAAGGGCTGGAGCCCCTCTGCTCTGGAGACAGGCTGGGAGAGCTGGGGGTGTTCAGTCTGGAGAAGAGAAGGCTCCAGGGAGACCTCAGAGCCCCTTCCAGTGACTAAAGGGGCTCCAAGAGAACTGGAGGGGGACTTGGGACAAGGGTCTGGAGGGACAGAACAAGGGGGAATGGCTTCCCACTGCCAGAGGGCAGGGTTAGATGGGATATGAGGAAGAAATTCTTGTCTGTGAGAGTGGTGAGGCCCTGGCACAGGTTGCCCAGAGGAGCTGTGGCTGCCCCATTCCTTGAAGCCCAGTGTCACCTACTGTCCCTCTCCAGCCTGCACCTGCCACAACCTGAACTTTCAGAATGGTTTTGCTTGTGGGGGTTTTTGACTGTCCCCTTAGACCAGGTACCTCCAAGGAAGGGCCAGACAGGCACCACAGGCTGCTGCTTACACTCCTTTAGTTGGCACTATAGCATCTTAATAGCTGGCTGCACATTTTGAAGGGGAAAGCTGGGTAAAAATGACTAAAAATAGCACATTGTGAGTGTCTCAATTCATCCTGAGCTGCTCTGACACCACTGTCAGACAACTGTGCTCCTCCTCTGCGCTCCTGACCAGATTAATCTTCAGCTATATGCTATTTAAAATTAATTTGCAAAGATGCAGACATTATATTATAAATCACTGAGGAAATGTCAGATTATGTATGTAATTTGCAGAAGTGCTCCACACTGATCTTGCTTAGCTCCCCATGAAACCGAGGCAGAGTTTGGACAGTTCACCATCCTTAAAATGCCATGGAAAATGAGCCAGCACTGCAGACACCTGTTGGTAATTCACACCCAGAGATTGTTGTAATATCTTCAGGACATTGGTGATCAGGGAAGGAGAAAAAAGGGGATGATGAAAAATACATGGACTAGAGTATCTCTTACTAATTGTTTGCTTGGCCTCGCTGGAAAGTCACCCGGTGTTCTTGGAGAGCGCTGTGTGTTCATGAGGAGGTGCCAACCACAATGTTCCTCTTCCAAGACCAAGTTCAGAATATTAATCATGGATAATAATGCCTAATTAGAGCCTGAAGCCCAGAGTTAATTGATGGTAGCTGCTTAGCATAAATATCAAATCTAACCTGAAATATCCTACCCACACCCCACAGTGTCTCCAGATGGGTAAGGAATTGTTGCAATAAGTGCTTGGTTTTGATGACACAGTGACTTGTCATTTCCTCAAAGGTGCTAAAAGAGTTTTGTGCGTTAGTGACATGAAAAGTGTTTGTAATTCATGGTAATCCAGAGCTCCCTGACTTGTCCTGGCCCCAGCCTGACAGGCTGCAGCACCTTGGTTGTGACGGCTCTGCACTCTCTGCTCCTTCCCAGGAGAGGTGAATCCACTGCTGCCACACATCAGTGCAGTTCTGCCAGGACATTCAAGGGTTTTTGACCTCCTGCTGCCTTAATCTCATGAACTTGGGGCCATTGTTTTCCTCAAGCAGAGGTCAGAGGCTGTGACCCAGCCAGCCAGCCTGTGACTGCTTTAGAGCATCCCTTGGATAGCCATCCAGTCTGGCAGAAATCACCTTGGGTTGTTTTTCCTGTGGCCTGGGTTGATTCCCAGAGGCATCTGACATGTGCTCTGCATGGCTGAAAACGAGGCTGGTTTTAATAATGAGCAATTATATGATAGCAAACAAAGATTTGTACTGTGGAGCTTGTGGGTCCCAGCGGACGCGCTGCCGTTGTTTTGTGGAGCAGAGGGGAACGAAGCCAGAGCTTGTGTTTGCTGGAAGTAGGTAATAGAATATTATTAGATCAGCCCCTGCCTCTGCCTTGGCAGAAACACTGCAGAGTTAATTGCTGCTTTAGAGCACCGTTGTTCAGCTGCAAGAAAGTGGGTCGGCTGTTGAGGAGATCACTGATCCCATATAATTGCTGTGAGAGACACAAAAACAGGCTTTGTGCTCAGCTTGAGTTTGGGCCAACTGAGCAGCACAGTGGCTTTCATCAGTGGTGGGCACACACTGAGGGTACCTGTGTAGCTGTCTGGGCGTGCACAGGGGACATCAGTCCAAAGCCCTGTGGTTGTTACTGTGTGACTGAGCCACTGTCACCACCCCTCCTGGCAGTGTCACATCTGGAAACCCAGCTGAGAAACCTGGCCCAGGGGAACCATGAATTCCCTTCCTCTCTAGTGTTCCACTGGGAGTGACTTCAAGGCATGCAGGATGGTGATGGCACCTCCACAAACTGAGTTTACTATGGCTTAGTCCATGCAGGGCAAGATTAATGGTGGGAAGAGTCGATAAAAGTAGACCTCTTGCCCTCTCCTAGTGCTGTGGGTGTCTCTCTCCTGGATAATTCATCTTTTTTCCCAGGTCCTTGCCAGACATGAGTTTGTGTGTGTTCACCTGTGCCTGTTTCACATGTTTTCACCTCTAGGTAATTTGAGATCCTTTTTTTTGGAAGTGTTATGTTACTAACACTTAAAAGGGGAGTATTCAAATAATTTTGAACTTGTGGTCTGAGTCACAGAATAACCATTTACTGCTGGCCCCTCCCCACTCACAGCAAGGCTCCCTTCTGAAGGATGCCCTGGGTGGTGTACGTGCATGTGCAGACTCTAATACTGCTAATGCAAGCTTTGAAAGCACCTTCTATAACAAAGCAGGCTTGGAGATAGGGTCTCACTCCATAAATGATGGGTTACACTTGAAATTTAATGTGTCCTGGGAGAAATATCCCTCAGAAGGGCATTGGTGTATCCAAGAGTCCCCTTGTGCCTGTAGCTTCGTCCTCCTGGAGAAATGGGGATGCTTGACCAGGCTTAAAATGCACTTTGTGAACCCTGGAAAAAACCCAACATTTAACTGTTTACTTGCTCCTTACCTACGAGCAGGAATTAGTTAAAATCCTGGTGGATCTCTGTGGGTGTTTTGCCCTCAGACACATCCAGTGCCCTGTGGTGTTGATGTTCTTTAAGACCAGCTGGATATTTCACCCCAAAGTCCATGCCATCACAGAACTTTAATTCTCAGGTATCATGTTTCACAAGACTTACATTAGCTCTTAGGAAAAGAAAGTCACTGTGCTGGCAGTGTAAATTTATTTGGTTTACCAGTTTAGCACGTCCAGTGCTACCCCAGCCCTCTGGTGGCTTTCCAGAGCAGGCAGTGGCTCTTCCAGAAAAGCAAGAGAATAAAAGACAGGGAATAATACTTTTTTAGCCATGATCACAGGCTGTACCAAATAGAAGGTAGAATATCTATGTGGAGGAGGCCAGTGGAAGGGGGTACCTGTGCTGTAAGGTTTTCTTCTTGTCCTTGTATGAGAAGTAAAAATCCACAACCTGAAATACTGTTTTTTATATTCCTTTTTTAACCACTCTGAAGATGTGAATTGCTCAGGCAAAAGTGAGCTGCTTGCCTGCCAACTCACTGGAAGAATTGCTCGTGTTGATTTTCAGCTGCATTTGCTCTTTCTCATGAATGAGAGGGAATCTAATGTAAAGTCTTATCAGCTTGTCAAGTTAATTACTGTCTATTTTAATATTATCGTTATCAGTCATTGCTAATTAATGTAAGTAACATGATTACAGCTTTTTTGTCTTATTTTTCAGTGAGAAGCTGGATGGAGAAGCTGAAAGATAAGGTAGGAGGCTCAGTGTTTCAATTCCTTTCAAAGCAAAACATGTTTACTTGCAGGAATAAATAAACTTGTGTCAGTGCAGTTCTTTATCTCTACAAAGACAATTGAGAAAGGGCTTAAAATTTTCTCTGGAAGGCAAATGAACCAGATGCAGCTGGTATATGGTGGTGTGAATCCACAAGACATCCCTGATGGGCAGTAACTAAGAGCAGAAGGAGGGACAGGGGTATTTGATTGATCTCTCTGCATCAGAAAATGACCTTGTTGTCAGACAACCAGAGCTACTTTCTTAGTGCCCCTTAACTTATCATAGAATCACATAATAGTTTGAGGTTGAAGGGACTTTTAAAAGGCCATCTAGTCCAACCCCCCTGCACTGAGCAGGAACATCTTCCACTAGATCATAATCAGGTTGCTCAGGACCCTGTCCAACCTGACCTGGAGTGTTTCCAGGGATCCCAGGGTGAGGAACTTACCTCCACACCTTTTCTCTTAAGTGCTAAGCTTGGTTCTGAATCCAAATCAAGAGATTTTTGGTGCTCCTCTCTGGTGAGAGGCTGTGTGCCAATGTCACCTCTTGGACAAAACATTCCCTGCCTCCACGTGCACGAAGAGCTGCAAATCCCTGGAAGGAGAAAAGAGTAAACACAAGAAGACTGAGAAGGTAGCAGACCCTGATCATTTCTCCCTGGCATCACAGGGGGTAATCCATTGGAATCAAGAGCCACAGGCAGTGATGGCTTTTTAGGCTCTGCTGCCCTGGAGCAAATCTTAACATTTTGAAATGGTTGTGAAGCCTTCCAAATGTCGTGTTGCTGGTGGCAGAACCGTGAAGCTGGAAATGAAGGTGGCAGTACTGTTTTAAGGCAAGAACATTTTGTGAGTCAACAAGGCTGGGAAATTCCTGAACAGGATCAGAGTCAGTGGATGAAAAAACCACCACAAGGAAACTCTGAAAATACATCTCTGAGCTGAAGCAGCCTCCTCACCCCAGGAGCCCAGCCTTCCCACGTGGTCCTCACCAAATTTCAGCAGCACTTGACCACCAAGTCAGAGCAGAGAGGTAGGGTCTGGGTATCAATTTTCCAGGACAGGGGAGTGGAAGGGTTTAAGGTGGGTTCCTGCCCAGCCTTTTTTGAGTTGCTTTTCTGCCCACACCAGGAAGGAGGAATGTCTAGTACGAGCTCTGCTCATGGCAGAGCTCTTTGGCCTGGGATTCAGCCCGAGCGGACGCTGAAAGGACAGAGAATGGTTTTCCCAGTGAAGGTAAAGAGCAGACACCAGGGCTGGCTGGGTGCCTGGAGTGAATGCAGCATGCACAGGGCACCTGCTCATGCCAACTGCTCATGCCAACACGTGGCACACACGAGCCTGGGGACATCAGTGTGTTCTCACTGAAGTGTAGCTTTCACTTCTTTCCCCTTGGCACCTTGGCCTCCTCTGTCCTTCCCCATTGCAGAGGGGGTGCTTGTTCCATGTTCCAGCCTCTTGCAGGTAGATTCTGGACTGCCTGGAAGTGCCCAGCACAAGCACTGGTGTAACTGAGGATGCACTGGTGTCTACTTAAAAGAGAGATTTGGCCCTGAGCCATCTCCCTCCTTTGGGGAACAGCAGACACGTGGAGGCAGATCTGTCACCTGCCTCACATTTTCCCTTAGAAGAGCCCAACAAAAAGCACTTCCCCACCCCCAACCAAATGCTGGTGTAGCAAACAAACCTGTTCACCCCATTCCCTCCTCTTCCTTGTTGAGTTTATCAGCACCAGTCATATGTGCCCTACTCATTTGCCCTTTTCCTCTGTTTTACAATCCCTCCATCCAGAAGAGGATCCCGGCACAAGATGGCCCCACCCCTGAGAGATACATCCTTGTGTGTCCCTCTCCATGGGAGAGGAAAGGGTGTGGGGAGCATGGGACCAGGAGCAGGGGGCAGGGACAGATTTATGCCTGGTCTCCTGCAAACACTGTGCAAATGTTGCATTTGGTGTGGTGGATAATGGACATGAGGTTCCTCTGAAGTTTTCTTGCTGTTATCTCAAAGCTCAGGAAGATCACGGTCATGGACTGAGTGTATTAAAAGCATCCCTAAAGAAGCCACATCTTCCCCATGGGAAAGGGTCAAAAACATGGCTTTGGAGCTGCCTGTAAAATGGGGTTTTCTATCAAGCAAGTGCAGAAGCCCTCAGGAGTTGGGCTGAACAGCACAGAAGAGCTGGGTCTGCATCACATCACAGGCTTTTGGGATATAGAACATTGATCTGGGTTTTGAGGGAAACCTGTAAAAGGCCATGGGCTGGTCAGGTGTGATAAAGGCTCACAGACAGGCTGAGGAGTTTGTTGTATTAAAAGCAGTGATTTCTAGGTGGAAACTCAACTGGGCAGCAGCTAAAAGCCATTTCCAGTTGCTGCCTGTGCCAGCAGCAAAGTTCCAGAAATAGAAAACCCCACTCTGCACTAATTAGGTCACCCAATTAAGGCACCTTAATTGCCTCGCAGAGATAGAGCCTTTTTAGCTGTGTTCTCACTAACCTCCTTTTTTCAGGAGCTGGGTGCAGGGATGCAGCCCCCTCCCAGCAGCTGTGCTGAAGGGGGATGGGTTTTCTGGGAGGGTGTTCAGGGAATCTGCAGGATGCAGCTGAAGATCCCTCAAGCCTTGGGATCCACACACAAAGGTGTTACTATTTAAAGCACTGAGTAGGATCTGGAGGGGTTTGGGAGAGCAACCCAGCCCTTGTTAGCATTGTGTCTGCCCTAGATGAAAGCAGTTATTTTCATTCTCCAGGTAAGGATACAAAGGCAGGGCAGTGCACCTGACTAGCTTTCTTTTTTTTTTTTTTCCCCCCTCCCACTCTGTGAATTATGGAAGAAAAGTGATTCTGGTGTGTGTGTTGTGGCTCTGTGTTGCAGTTTGGGAGTGCAGATGAAGATGAGTGGTTGTAAGCAATGGGCTGAGGCTCTCTAAGAGCTGGCTGATGGTCCTCAGGATTGGTGCATCTGTCCCTTGGCAGGTGTAAAATCTGTTTTGGGGGTGGACATGGTGAAGCTGTAGTGGCACAGCAGAGGACTCTGCTGCTGCAGTGTGAAGAAAGGCAGAACTCCTGAGGGAGGGGGGCCACACTGTACCTGCCTCCCTTGCAACACTGGGCCCCCCAGCCTGAATTAGGTGAGGATTCTGGAGCAGTCTGTCACCTTGGAACTTATGTTCATTTTCATTTGAAGCAGTAAAATATGAAATAACAAGGACTGGGGAATATTTTCTCAAGGATTTTAAATGCTTAGATGTGTAATTTTTAAATTAGTCTTGCTACCTATATGTTTTTTTAAACGGGCTATGCAAACATATGGATCACAGCAATGGAATTAGAGCTGATTTACTTTTGCTGTGCTTCCCTTAGGGCCAGCTGAAGGTCTGTGTGCCCTCCCTCTATGTCATCATCCTGTTCTCATGCAAGTCACCCCTTCCCATGCAAAGAAAAAGTGTTTAGCTCAAGGATTTTGAGTACAAAGCAGAGGAGACCCAGGCTGGGCTGGGCACAGAGAGGGCAGGGTGTCCCTGCCCACAGCACGGGGGTTGGAACGAGATGATTTTTAAGATCTCTTCGAACCCAAACCATTCCATGATACACCTGTGCCTTTATTTGTGGTGGTGGTACCTGGGGAGCTCAGAGCAGCACTCAGCCTACTTTACACAGCATCTGGTCAGGCTGTTTGGGTGGTCACAGATCTTTGGTGTGACTTGAGATTGCCTGGCCTTGATGGTTGAGGTTTTCCTTCACACTTAATACCCATATTGACAGACACTTCACCCAGATTGTTCCTTCTCCTAAATCTGGGCAGGCACTGCAGGTTCTCAACTATCAACAGCACATACCTGTTAGAAAAAGCTGATGGTGAGGGAGCTGTGGTGGTTTGACAGCTTGGTCCTGGAGTGGGGGCTGGTTGGAGCTTGCTTAGCCCCTGGAACCAGAGTTCATCCTGTGCAGGCAGGTGGTAGGGACTCAAATCCAATAAACTTTGAGGAAAGCACCACAGGGATACGTTTCAGCCCTAGAACTGGTGAAAACTGACTCTGAAAGGATGGTCTTGTGAGTGCTGCTCTTCTTCTCTTTCCCACTTAGGCAGGGTACATGTCGGGGATGCTGGTTCCCGTGGGAGTGGGAATAGCAGGAGCCCTGTTTATCCTGGGAGCGCTCTACAGCATCAAGATCATGAACCGCCGAAGGAGAAATGGCTCCAAGAGACATAAAAGAAAGGTACTGAACCTGCAAAGAAAGACCCCAATCCCACCCATTCTCCCATCAACCCTTTGGGCTGTAAAGCGAGCGCAGCCTGGGTATGGCTGAAGTGCCCTGGATGTCTTGGTTAAGGGGTGGGGGGATCCAAATGCCTTTTATCCAATCTCCTTTTTGCACGTGGAGCTCTTTCATGTCTCTTTTTCCCCCCCCAGCAGAGGGAGTTCAACAGCATGCAGGACCGAGTCATGCTCTTGGCTGACAGCTCCGAAGATGAATTTTGACCCGGACTGCGGTGCCCTTGTGACTTTTCCGAGGAGGGAGGGAGAGGGAGAAGAAGAACAAGTGACTCTGTGCTGCATCCCTGCTCTCTCCACCACCCCAGGGCCCCAGCAGGGCTCAGTGCCCTGGCCAAGGCATGCTACGCTCTTCGTGTCCCGCCCAGTGATGTTTGTTTGATACAATAGTGGAGATTTCACATTTCTTGTTGCAGCTGGAGCTGATCCATATGGATGATTATTTTCCTATCACCCTGGTGTACTGTTTTGGTCCTGGCTGGCAGTAATCTAATCATAACAATAGCTCTCACCTAACCCGGGAATGGAAATCTTTACTGTGAATGACTGCTGTCCAATTAATTTTAAGTGTTACATTACCTGAGCTAGAGTTCATTAGTGCTAAGATTAGCTGCTCTGCTTAATTAATGAGTTGTACACCTGAACTGTGTCCCTGGCCACCTGAGAAGTGCCCACGTACAGTGTTCTTGGTTCAGTTTGAAGCACATTTCTGCACTTGGGTGCCCGCCTCTCACCCCTGCTCTCTCCCTTCAGCTCTTCTCCACACTGCTTGGAGACACACAGGAATGGCCTCAGCACTTGATTTCACCACAAAAATCCTGTCCATTTTCAACCAGCACTGTCTGTTACAGCACAATAAATACCAGCGCTCGCCTACTGACGGGTGGTCTTGCATGGATCTCTCAGCTCTTGGTCAGTGTAGGTCAGAGAACAGGCAGATCAGAGGCTTCCTCAGCTCCTGCCTCCTGTTTGAAGGACACTAGTTAGTGGTTCATCTCTTTCCAAGGCTGCTTTCCCGTAGAGATGAAAGTGGAGCATCTGTCCCACTGGAAATTGCATTTTCGGCCCCTGAAAGCTGCACAAACAGCAGCACCTTTGGGGGGTTTGGATGGGTCTTGTCTTGAATCACAGAACGGTTTGGGTTGGAAGGGACCTTCAAGACCATCTCATTCCACCCCCCTACCATGGGCTGGGACACCTTCCACTAGACCAGGTTGCTCCAAGCCCTGTCCAGCCTGGCCTGGAACACTTCCAGGGATGGAGAAGCCACGTCTGCTCTGGGCAACTGGTCTCCAGACCACAGAGTACAGAAAGGCACTCAAGGTTGTGGAGCAGGCGACTGTCAGTATTGAGGGATTCATGGCTAAGAGTGGGAAAGCAGCCACAGCTGGAGAGGTGTTTGCTGTGGGGATGTGAAATGGCCACACTGGGAACCTTTGGCCACAGGGGAGAGGGGAAGGTGGAGCTGTAGGACGGGTGGATTCAGGGGTTGTGGTGGTGAAGCCAAGGGTGGCACAGAGTGAGGGCAAGCTGCTGTGCTGCCTGGGTTAGCCCTGGGTTACAGGAGGAGACACAGCCAGTGCCTGAGATGTCACAGGCACCAGACAGGGGAGGCTGATGTTGCTTTGCCCAAAAGCGCTGTAAAAATAGCCAGAAAAGGGGCTGCATTACTTCATCTCTGCTTCTGGTTATGGAATTACTTCAGTCTGACATTTTGTGCAAAGCATCCATGTTTCCAAGGTGGGAATCACTTGTAGGGAATCATCCTTCATGCAAGGAACAGCAATTGTTACCAGAGGAGACCTGATCAGAGAAATAAGGGCAGACCACACATCTGTGAGGTTAAATCCCACTGAGCCTTTGAAGAAGTGGAGGGAGGAGAGTTTGAGGAGGGGCAGGTGCAGGATGTCATTCCTTGTGAAGGTGGAAAGATGGTAAAAGGATGTTGATGATGGGAAGCAAATGCCTTGTGGGAGTGTGAGTGGGATTGCAAGGCAGAGAGGACATTCAGAAGCCCCTCCTCAGGCTGAGGTCTCTTTGAGGAGGTCAGAACCTCCTCTGGACATTAAGTCACCAGATGTGATGTTCAGCTCTGAACAATCTGTGCTCTTCAGAGGCCAGGTACTTTCCTGTGAGCCTTACCTCTACACCTACTGAGTCATCTCCCATCTGGAGAAGGACAGGTGGGACAACCTGGTTTCAAAATGCTGCTAATGCAAGTCTTCCACTCAAACAGGTGTGTGGTCCCTCACACATTCATCCCACCAAGTTTATGGGAAGCAGGTTGGGGAGACTGGTCCATCAACATGTTGGGGAAGGGCTTCATACCCTGGTCCCTCTAGGTCAGGCTTTCCCAGACAGGGAAATGTCACAGTACATCTCTCCCTTCTTGTTCCTGAAACTTTAATGAGGAGAATCTTGCCCTGCTAAAATCAGCCCCACATCTTTAACAGGCACTGAGGGGCAATCCACCAAGTCCAGGTGCCCCTACCCAAAATTAAAGCCTCTTTCTCCCATAATAAGCGATCACCCCAAGTTAAGATGAAGTTTTCCTTCCAGACTAATCTGTCCCTATTTCCTTCTCATTCCTAAGTCTCTTGGAGGTGCTCAGGAAGTGTTAACAGTCCAGGTGAGCATTGCTGACTGTCTTGCAACATTGGAAATCAGGAAATGTTGTCCTTTGGGCTTTTGGTGATTTATTCCTGGCAAGGTATGATGGGGTTTGCAAAGTGAAATGACTTCTCCCTTCCAGGTTGCTGGAGATCATCTTCAGAAAGGCTTGTTTTTCAGGAACAGTGCCAGGCAGGCTGGAAATGAGACTCAGGCAGCTGCCTGAGGTGTTCTTGAAGTGCTTTACCCTGGTCCAGCTTGGAAGGCACGGGGAATCAGCAGTGATAAAGGGCCTTGGCCTCTGCAAGAGGGGGCCTGTCTTGGAGCATAAGTTGTGTTAAGTACCCAGTAAGATGCAGAGCTGCTGGGCCTGTCAGGAGAAGGAGGAGGGATGGCTGAGCAAAGCTGCAGGCTGCTGGTTTAAATACCCCAGCTCTGGCAGCACAGGAGGATCTTTATGGATGACTTGTCAATTTGATGGATTGGGAAGGCGGGTGGGGAGGTGCCATGGCCTCTGGTTGTGCTAACAAATCCACAGCTTGGGAAACACTGGCTTTCTGCAGCGGCAATCAGTCTCCCTGTCTTTTCTTCTCCCGCCCCAATATAATGAGCTTAAGGAGTTAAAGGCAAGGCTGTCAGTCAGAATGACAAAGGTGGGGTTTTGCTGCACCAGCTGGGTGCCCTGGTGTCCTCAGAACCAGGCTTCCCTCAGAGAGGACATGGCAAGGCTGGGTGGGATGCTGGAAATCAGCAGTGCCACGAGTGGGGCTGACAAATAGTTGTAAGTGGATGTATGGAAGGTATGTGGGACAGCCTGGGCAAGCAGGAGAGTGGTAGCCAAAAGGGAGATCAGATCCAGCTGCATGCACAGTTCAGTGTGGCCTCTCTAGTCTCTGCTGAAGACAGAGTTAGTAACTAGACGTGTTTTGCTTGTGTTCCATCCTCACTGCCAGGCCTGTCTCTGACTCTGAACACCAACCAAGGAGCCTTGACTGAGAGCTGACTGCTGTTGGCCAAATTTCTGACCTGCTCAGCAGTGCAGAGATCCCAGCTGATGTCCATTTGAAGTGGAGGTATTTGTTGAATAGTTGGTTTTGGTCAGGTACCGGGCTTCCCATGTCTTCAGCTTAACCTGGAAGCAAGCTGGACAGTCAGATCCAGCCTTGGATCCCAGGGAAGCTTGTGGGAGCCTTTGGAGCACAGACAGGGTTTCCTGCAGTGCCCCCGGCATCAGTGCAGTTTGTGAAGGTCCTGAAAGCACAAGCATCATTCAGCTCCTTCCCTTCTCATCCAAGGCCAGGAGACTTTGGATTGGGCTCTTAAAATTATTCTCTATACAACTCCTGGAGTTTAATTCATTTCCTTGAACAGAGATGGCAGGAGGGAGGGGAGGAGGGGTTAAGGTGGGAGCTGAAGCTCCAGTGGCTTAATGCTCTGCTGATTTAATCTGTACCTCTGCTTACCAAACAAGCAGATTCTTTTGAGAGAGACAGGACAGGAAAAGCAACCAAGAAGGATCCTCCTCATCCTCTGTGCTGGGTGAACTGCAAGCCCCTGAGTGCTGAGGTGACCCTGGCACGGCTGCGACGGCGACTTCACTGCAGCAATAGAATAATCCCTCGACTGACACAGGACAAGTCACTCACCTCTGTTTTGCATTTTCCTGATAGCACAAGCCAGAATTTATTGAAGGCATCACACGACAGCATCTCCAGCCCCGTTTCTGACAGGAGGAACCAGCCTGGTGTGCAGCTCTTGCCCTGATGAAATGCACCTCTTCTATACAGCTGCTGATTTTTAAAGGTGTCTCTGAGGCCAGATGTTCCCCCTGGTGAGGTTTCTCTGGACTGCACTGCTTCCATAGAGTGATGTTAGCAGTCCTCATGCTTCCTCGTGGTTTTTTTTCTATTTTGGACAGGAACAACTCCTCATACTGTAACTATGGAATGTAGCACTTTGTTAAATGAAAACATTGGGAAATAAAAAGCTGTCCATCATAGCTCACTCTGAGCGCCTTGTCTCCCTGGTCTGTGTTCATGGCATTCACTGTCTCACAGGTAAAGCTGTGAGGGGATCATTTGGAAGACTTGAGTGTTGTGTTTCTTTCTCCACACTGCATGGCCTGGACAGGGACTCAGGCTGAGCTTGCAGGGGTGATAGGAGCCCTGGGGAACCTCAGCCTGGGACTTTTTGGGTAGGATTTACCAGGAGGTAGGTGTTTGGGGTGTTATTCATCACAGCCTATGGCAAAGTCCCTTGATGTGTTTTGCAGTAGCAGGAATGAACCCCAATACTGACTTTCCACATGGCCAGAGGTCTCTCTGTGCACACCAGGACATTTTTCTTTCTGTTTTGTCCCATGAACAAAAGGTCTGTGCCCAAGCCTTTCAGGACCCCAGTGATACAGCACTGGTGAGCTTTGAGTGTCAGTTGTAGGTGCTGCAAATGTTTCATAAAAGCTGCCTTATTGCAGGTGAGTATTTGTAGAATCACAGAGTCATGGAATGGTTTGGGTTGGAAGGGATCTTAAGGGCAATCTTTTTCCAATCTCCTGCCATGGGCAGGGACACCTTCCACTAGACCAGGTTGCTCCAAGCCCCATCCAACCTGGCCTTGAACACTTCCAGGAATGGGGCATCCACAGCTTCTCTGGGCAACCTGTGCCAGTGGCTCACCACCCTCACAGCCAAGAATTTCTCCCAAATATCCCATCTAACCCTGCCCTCTGTCAGGGTGAAGCCATTCTCCCTAGTTCTGTCACTCCAGGCCCTTATCTGAAGTCCCTCTCCAA